GGGCTCTTCTGGTAGGCTCCACGGGCAGGGCCTGTGGCTCGGCCACGGCTCCCTCTCTGGTCTCTTTAATCCCAGAGTTGCTGGGTGTGGGGCTGAGCCCCTGGGGAGGGTCTCAGTGCTGGTCTCTTCTGGATTGAGGGGGTCAGGCTGTCATTTATGCCTCTGAGGGGGAGCTGGGGAGGACCCCCAGCGGCCACCAGCTAGCCCAGACCTGGCCTCAAAGCCACCGATTTCTCGGTGTGCCACTGTAGGCTTGGGGTCTGGGGGTCCGTCCCCTGTCCGCTGGGCGGGCCCCGGGGCGCTTGTGCCATCCCCAGTTCCTCAGGTCAGAGGGTTCGACCCCTGGAACCCCGGGCAGGGGCTCGGATCCTCTCCGAGGCCCCCGTGGTGGCTGAGGGCTCCCCACTCGGGGGAGCACGGCGGTACCAAGCCTGCTTTTCCTTTTGTGACTGAAGGTCCTGCAGATCTCAGCCCTGGCTGTGTACCCGCTCCCTCAGGCCGGCAGGTACGTGACGAGGACGCTCAGGCCACGCGTGGGAAGTGTGACAGCAGAGTCCTTCCTTCCCTTAGCAGGGTCCCCTCTGAGTTGCTGGTGCCCGTGGGGTTCAGCTCCTATCTGGGGTTGCCCCCCCCTCCCTACCAGGGTATGGTATGGTGTGTGGGTCTGGGCGTGCCGGGCTGGGCTGGGCCTGTGTTCAGGGCCGTAGTCCTGCGGCTGCTGGGCGGGGCCCGAGCCTGAACTTGGTTGGCTGATGTTGGGCTGTTCTTTGCGCCCCTGGCCTTCATTCTGGCCATGCAGAGGGAACTCTGCCAGCCCCAGGTGATCCTGGCAGGGCTGGCAGACTCTGGCTGAGTCAGAGCCATTGCTGCTGAGGCTGAGGCTGCTCTGTCTCAAGACCTGAGTCCATCGTCTGTGCCACGAGGCCCTGTAGGCACTGTACATGTGCCAGGAAACTCAGCTCCCGTGTGCCACAGCTGGGCACAAGCGTGCGAGGGGCAGGGCTGGGCCAGGCCAGGCCTGGCGCACGCTGTCCCTGGGGTCTGCCTCTCAGATCCTGCACTGCTTTTGTCCTGGGTAGCAGAGTAGCTGGGGGTGCTGGAGAGAAGAGGCGCAGGGCCCAAGCTTCAACCCTGGCGTCTTTCTGGGGAGCCCGTGGGCTTCTGACTCCTCAGGGAGCTGGGCAGGCACCGTGGGCTGGTCCCCAGTGTGTGCTGTCACCTGTGCTTGTGTCGTTGCCTGGGTGGGAGCTGGGTCTTCTGAAAACGTGGAGAAGCCATGAAGGCCGTCATGGGGGGACGGGGCAGGTCTGGGGTCAGCTGTGGGGTCCAAGTCGGGGAACAGGGCCACACATTGGGCATGATGGCCTCCTTGGTAAATGGGGTGTCTGCTCCGCATTCTGGGGGCTGTGCCGGGACATGTGGCTGTGACCGGACTACTGAGGGGGGCGCGTGTGAGCGGAGAGCCTCGGGCCCTCCCTCCTCCCCCACGGGAGCTTCTCAGTGTCCGTGCAGTGAGTCCCGCATGCCTGGCTGACAGACATCTGTCCCTCATCCTCCCCCCACCTGCCGCCTGTGTCTCTTCAGGAAGCCGGAGGTGCTGGGTCTGCTGTCGCTGTGGGACCTGACGCGGCTGGTGAACATGCTCATCGTGTTCCGCTTCCTCCGCGTCATCCCCAGAATGAAGGTGCGTGCCCGCCCGTGCCCGCTCGGGCCCCTGCCTTGTCTGCTGCAGAATGGTGCTGTGTTCTAGGGCTGGTGGTCTGGGTCTGGGACTGAGCCCCAGCTCCTCAGCTTGGGCCACAGCCTCAGCCTCTACTGTCCCTGAAACAGTGATCGGCCTGGGCTTGGGGTGAGGAGGGAGGTCTGGTGAGGGGTGGGCGCGGCCCCCTCCGCCGTCCCAGGAGAGGCTGCCGCTGGGCATTGGTGAGAAGGGCCTTGGGCGAGGGTTGGACTGGACCCACTGCAGGTTCTCCAACGCTGTCAGGAGTGTCATGTCCCTGAGGCAGGGAGGGCAAGGCTGGCCAGGCGGGCAGCCAGGTCAGGCTGAGAGCGTCAGTGGGAACCTGAGCTTCCGCCCTCCTCCCTGTCCTCCTCCTGGATGGACGGCCCTGTCCTCTGGGATCACCTCTTCCCTCCAGTGTGTCCCATGTACCACACACACACACACACACACGTGCACACTGCCCACTTGGGATCATGCTTATGCACATCACACAGGATTGTGTGCATACATGAGACTATGTCCATGCACACATACGTCTGTATTGGGATCACGTCCGTGCAGATCATACAGACATGTCCATGTGCAATTACGTAACGTTCACACATGTCCCCAGGGGACCATGCATACACCCCCCCCCCACAAGATCACGTCCACACAGGATTATGTACATCCACACGAGACTACGTGCACTTGCCCCGAGGCCCGCACAGGATTGTGTCTGCACACACATCCACATGGGTTCATGTGTGCACACCTGCACACACATTGTAACATGGCACAGCCCCACAGGCACCTGTGGCCTCATACACGTGGCCGCAACGCATCATCGTGTGTGTATATCACCCACACAGTCACGTGTGTGTGTATTTGTGTGAGGCAGAGGAGAGGTCTACGCGACCTAACAATGTACATGTTCACACATGACCTCATGTGTGCACACGTGACGTCACATGTACACACTCATTCCCGTGATTGCTAGCTGTGGTCTTGGACTATTTGCCATGTCAGGCTGGTTTGGCTGGAAGGCCTGGCTTTGGCCCCCCAGCGTGGTGGGCTCCCCTGTGTGGCGGGCTTCTGTGGCTCTCTGGAGCCCTGGGGCATTCCTGCCCCTTCTAGGTTTGTGTTCCCTGGAGCCTTTGGCCCACAGAAGGACTGAACTGGCCACAGCTGGCAGGCGAGGCCTGTGGGTTCCAGAGGGACGTGGAACTTGGCAGCCACTGTGGTCATGTGTGGCCTTGGGCAGGTGGTCCGTGGGTGTGTGAGCGGATGTGGGGTTTGTCCAGGTGTGTGTGGATGGCTCTGGGGTGAGTGTCTAGGTATGCTCAGGTATGTGGTGGACACTGGGAGTGTCTGGGTGTGTCAGGGCACATGTCTACATGTATTCCGTGTGGATGGCTGCTTGCAAGCTGTGTCCAGGCTTGGGGTCATCTGCCTGTCACCTGCTGTCCGTCAGGGCCGACGGGGGCTCCTGCTGTCCCCTCGTGGGTCAGGAGGAGTAAGGGCTGTCTTCTGTCCACAGCCTATGGCAGTGGTGGCCAGTACCATCCTCGGCCTGGTGCAGAACTTGCGGGCGTTTGGTGGGATCCTGGTGGTGAGGCCCGGGAGCGGTGTGGCTGGGCTGTGGGTTGTGGTGTGGCCGGGCTGTGGGCTGTGTTGTGGAGGGGGCGGGAGGAGTCCTGGATGGGGCAGCGGTGGGCTGTGAAGTCCAGGAACCTCAGGCCCAGGGCAAGACCAGAACTGGACCTGGGGACTGTCACCCATCAGCACTCCCCTGCTGGGCCCCGGGTCCTGTCCTGTCCTGTCCCTGTGATCTCTGGGTCCCGGCTACCCTGAGAGTGGCTGTGGACGGTGTCAGAGGCCCCGACTTCGCCTACAAGGTGCCCCTGCCTGCAAGAACTCTGGCACAGGCCCTTTTTGTAGGGGACTCTAGGGGCTTGGGGCCCAGTGTGCTGGGTGAAAGCCCTTCCCGGGCACTGCCCTGCCACCCAGCAGAGGGACCTGTGACCAGGTAGGGCCCCGGGCCTTCCCTGGCTGGAACCAGCTGGGAACTGGCCGGCAGTGGGTGTGGCAGTGCCCGGAGCAGCGGTGTCCAGGCCCCCTGGGGATGTTAGGTCCCGCTGGGCGCTATCCCCGGCCAGCCTGGGGGAGCAGCTGTGCTTCGATGCAGAGGTGTCGGCCTGGGACTCAGGGCCTGGTGGCCTGGGACTCAGGGGCCTGGCCGTGGCTCGTGTGGCTCTGTGGACCGCGGGCCGCTGACGGCGGCTGCCTCCCCCCAGGTGGTGTACTACGTATTCGCCATTGTTGGGATCAGCTTGTTTCGGGGTGCTGTTGTGGCTCCGGGGAACAGCAGGTAGCGAGGGGCCCCGGGGTGCCAAGGGCCAGCCTGCTGGGCTGGGGTGGGCAGAGCCTTCAGAATGAAGACCTTTTCTGGGTTCCTTTCTCTCCTCTGCCCCATCCCATCCCCCCCGTCCCGCGAGCCTTTCCCAGCAGCGGCGCCCTGTCCCCTGGAGTCCACAGTGGCCCTTTGCTGGACGTGGCAGTTCCTGGGGGCCAGAGAGGCCCAGGCTGGCCAGGGAACGGGCCGCGCCGGGCAGTGTGGCCCCGGGGCCTGGCCAGTGACCTGGTGGCAATATGTTGCCAGTCTGGCCTCTGCCAACATCTCGGCACCCTGTGGAAGCTTCGAGCAGCTGGAGTACTGGGCCAACAACTTCGATGACTTTGCTGTGAGTCCCGTTTGGTTGCCTCCCTCCTCCCTGGGGCCCCGCCCTCCGCCCCCCTCCCCACCCCCCTCCCCGCCCGCCATGCCCTCTTCTGTTGCCCCTCAGGCCGCCCTGATCACGCTGTGGAACGTGATGGTGGTGAACAACTGGCAGGTGTTCCTGGATGCCTACCGCCGCTACTCAGGCCCGTGAGTCGCCTCCCCGCCGCGGGGTGGCGCCCTGAGACTCGGGGCTTCTGCCTCGTGGGCTCTGGTGGAGGGGATGGAAGGCTTCTGGGGAGTGGCATGGGGTGGCGGCCTAGGGAGGCGTGGATCGCGTTGTGGGCCGCGCTGCTCGCTGCTCACTGTGGCCGGGGCCCTGTCCCCCCCACAGGTGGTCGAAGGTCTACTTTGTGCTCTGGTGGCTGGTGTCCTCCGTCATCTGGGTCAACCTGTTTCTGGCACTGCTTCTCGAGGTACTGGGGTCCCCATGTCGGCCTGCCTCGGGCTGCAGCTTTGCCGGACCAGGCCCTGCCGGTGCCGCGGCTGAGGGTGCAGCCAGCCGCCCATCCAGGCTCCCGCCGCGGCCCCCGGGAGGCCCTGGCTCCCGGCCGCTGGGGTCCGCTGAGCTCCCCTTTCCCTCTTCAGAACTTCCTTCACAGGTGGGACCCGCGCGGCCACCAGCAGCCCCTGGCCGGCTCGCAGGAGGCCCCGTGCCAGGGCGCAGTGGAGCTCTTGTTCAGGTGAGGATGGAGGGCCGCCCGCAGGGCTCTTTGCTCCACTTCCTTTAGTCCTCGGTTGGTCTTGTGACCCGAGAGAGCCACACCCTCTCTCAGAAATTGTCCCCCTGTTGTGCTCTCCTGTGGCACTGTGTGGGTCCTCCGGCTTTCCACACCATCTATCTCTTTTTTTTTTTTTGGTCATGGGGCCTGAACTCTGGGCCTGGGCACTGTCCCTCAGCTCTTCAGCTCAAGGCTAGCATTCTACCACTTGAGCCACAGCACCACTTCTGGCTTTTTCTGCTTATGTGGTGCTGAGGAATCGAACCCAGGGCCTCATGCATGCAAGGCAAGTGCTCTACCACGGAGCCACCTTCCCAGCCCTACCTCATTTTTACGTATTGCTGTTGTGAGGATGGAGCCCGGCCCCTTAGGACTCTCCCGCCGCCCAGCACCCTCTCTGGGCTTTTACCAAGATGTAGAAACATTGTAGCAGCCGGGTGTGTCGGGTGGCTTTGCCCAGCTCCCTGGGGACCCTGAGGGGCCTTCCCCGGGCTGAGCTGGCCGTTTCCCCGCCCTGCTCCGCAGGGACGTGCTGGAGGAGCCCCGCGAGGAGGAGCTGCTGGACAGGCTGAGCCGGCACCCGCACCTGCAGCTGTCCAGGTGACGGCAGGCCTCGGGCCGGGCCCCGAGAAGGAGATGCTGGCCCAGGACCCACGCTGGCTGTGGGGGAAGAGCGGGGGCAGGAGGAGGAGGAGGAGGAGGAAGAAGCCATGACAGAGCACTCCGTGAGCACGGGTGCACAAGGCGGAGACAAGTACCCTGTGTCTGGGTCACGGCAGCCTCTCAGGACGGCGCTGGTCACCGTGGCCGTCACGGGGCAGGGCGTCTGCTCAAGGCTGCGTTCCTCTGCGCCCTGCTTCAGTGAGGCTCCCCGCGGGACAAGGAGCAGCTGCTTCCCTGCGTGCCTTCACTGCGGGTGGTCTTCAGGGACCTGAGCCCTGCCCGGGGCCTGTGCAGGGTGACCGGCAGGATCTAGGGTGCCCAGGTTGGGGTGCCGGTGGCTTTCCGTGAGGAGAATGTGGACTGTTGTTACTTTGTGCCTTGTGTGAGTGATCGGGTGTAATTCTCCCGGTCAGAACACCAATCATGACGGCGTTCTGTGAACGGCTCTGCTGTGTTGTCACTCCTGGCCCTGTCTCGGCTTGGCTGCTGAATTCGCCTTTGAGGCTGTGTGCTGCACCGGGGCACCCGGCTATGGGGTGCGCCGGGCTTTTCGTGTACTGTGTGGGGCATGTTTAGTGATGTGCATAGGGGTCATGCGCCCATGGTGGCCCTACTTTTGTGTCCTCGAGGTGTGTGGCAGAGGCTGGGGGTGGGAGGGGAAGTGGGCGATGGCGCAGGCCACGCTGTCACTTGATTCACACTAGGTCTGGAAGGACGAGTGTTTTTGCAATTCAAGTGCCAACGTCTGTGCTGGGTGGTGTAGTTTCTGGAGGTCTCTGCGTGGAAGAGGATTTGGAGATCTGGAAGTGATCGCTGCTTGGTTAATCCACAAGTGATGTTGCCTGGTGCTGCTGGTCGATGAGTGATGTGATGGATGAGTGATGTCTGCCCGGGCAGGAAGTCGGAGCTTGGGTACGACTTGGCTGTAAAGTCCTAATAAGGTTTGAGGAGAGTAAAACTGGAAAAGCAGTTCCAGAATGTCACAAGGCCCCAGTGCTTGCTTGGGCTGTGTAAATGGTGGGAAGGTGTGTGTGTTCCTGGGGAAGGCCTTTGAGCACCCCCCCCTCTGGGGGTGGGGGGGGGCAGGGTACCCCTTCATTTGTTGGAGATTGGGCGCCACCTTGTGGTACAACAGGGTTCTGCTGACCTTTATAGTATCCGGTGGACACTGACCCAGAAGCAGTGGGTGATCTGCTTCTTCCATCTGTGAGCCCCCGAGAGGTAGCTCTCCACATCTCAGTATGCCTGGCCCTCACCCATTGGTGGATGTCTGCGTCCTCCTGGCTGGCTGCTGTCCACTCTGCGTGCTACAGCCTCGGAGTGGACATGCCCCCTGGTCTCCTGCCAGGCTGCGCCTTACCCCAGGCCATCCGGGCACCGGGAGGCGGTGCTGGGGGGCAGCCCTGCCCCGGGAGGGGCACTGCTGTGTCTGGACTGTGGTGGGGACCAAACAGACGTGGTCAGTTGGGGTGAGACTTCTGACCATGAGCCTCACTTCGAGGACCTTCTGGGGGCTGCTTGCTGGTCCCAGAGCTCACCCCACTGGGCTGGTACCGGGGCAGGGCTGCTGAGGGCTGCCTGGGCTGGACCCTGGAGCGGTCACACGGCCGCAGGCCAGAGGAGGCGGCGGTGAGGGGGCCGCCGTGGGCAGGAGTCCAGGCCTGGGCGCAGGAGGCGTCTGGGGTCCCCTGCTGGGGACCAGTGGCCTGGGGCAGCAGGAGGCACGGATGGGAGTGGCTGGTGGGTGTGGGGACACCTGCGGGGCCGGCAGGGGCCGTGGTGAGTGGGGTGGGTGCCTGGCTCTCACACGCTCTGGAGAAGCAGAGCTGAGGGCCTGTGTGGTTGAGGAGGTATCAGAGCTCAGCTAGCGGGCACCATGCCGGTGAGGGGCCTGGGCAGGTACTGTGACTGGGGATGGGAGCAGGCCCAAGGCCGGGCTCACAAGTTCCAGCTTGTATTAACAGCAATAATGACAGACCCTCAGCCTTCTTCAGATCTCAGCCTCCTGAGTAGCTACGATGACAGGCGTGAGCCACTGGCGCCCAGCAAGCTGTACTTTAAAAGTTAACGTTTAAATAAGGGAAAACTGAACTGAAATTCCTCAAAATGAGCTGGAAGAGTTAGAGGGTGCTTTTAGTCACCGTGGCTGTGAGACACCGCTCGGCAGCGCCACGATGCCAGCACACATTTGTGTCCATGGCGTGTGCGTGTGTGCGTGTGTGCGTGCGTGTGTGTGTGTGTGTGTGTGTGTGTGTGTATGCACGTGCACACGGGCACAGCTGAGGCCAGGGTAGGCCTGCATTCCCCTTGGAGCCTCTGGGCATGTGCGATTCTGCTTCCCAGGCCTCCTGGTTTCTGGCTGAATTCAGCCTCTGGTGCTTGTGGCTGGGACCTCCAGGCTGGTGCACTGTCAGCCTGGGCCGTGCTTCCAAGCGAGGGCTTGCTTTGTCCTGTGAGCTCTCTTCTCCGCACTGCCGCCCGCCTCTCCTCCAGGCCCCTCACCCCTCCACACTCTTCTGAAAGAGCCATCCAGCCTGGGGTTGTAGCTGCCTAGCAAGCACAAGCCCCACGACTGACCAAAAAAAAAAAGCTTTAGCCAGATGCCAGTGGCTCATGCCTATCATCTTGCTTACTTAGGAGACTGAAATCTTGAGGGTCAGGGTTCAAAGATAGCTTCGGTGGGAAAATAGTCCACCAGACTCTTATCTCTTCTTTAATAAATCACCCAAAAGCTGGAAATGGACTGAGGCTCAAGTGGTAGAGCACTAATCTTGGGCAAAAAAGCTGAGGCCCCTAACCAGCAAAAACAAAAAAAGCAAAAGCTCTTAATATGTTCAGATGGTTGCCCTCAGCATGAACTCTCCCCCGAGAGCCAGGCGTGGCGATGTCACAGCCACCGGCCCTGCCCACGCACCGCTGGGAGGAGAGCCGGTGAGGGGGAGCACGGGCAGGGGACGTGGTGCCAGACTCATCCGTAGGCTGCCGGTCTCGGTGGATTTCCCCAGGAAAGCACCTGGGCGGATCCAAACACGGACAGGAAGTGCAGTAGAGTGGGGAGGGGCTGGGGACCGCATGTGGACGGGCTGTGGGCTTCCATGTTGGTGTGTGGCTCTTCCGTGGTCCCAGTCAACTTTGGCTGAAACACGGGTGAAACTGAATGTGTGAGGATGGGGCAGGATGCTGAGGGCGAGGGGGGGGGAGAGGGGCACAGGTGTTGGGGGGGCCAGGGGGACGTCCGCGGCCCTTTCCTGAGCCCCCTCCTGCCCACTCATCCTGGGCTCAGGCAGCTGGCCGGAGTCCAGGCCCCCGGCCCAGTCTGTTGCTGGGTCCGGGAGCGGGCCTTAGCCCGCGGGCGTGGGGCCTTTCTTGTGGTCTCTGCACGCCACGCAGTGGGGGCTCCCCTTCCCACCAACAGCCTGGATTGGGTTTCTGGTCTGGAGATAATGGGTGGTTCTTATTCAAAGGTTCAAACAATTCCTTGCTTTAAAGGGGGGGCGGGAGGCAGGAGGCCAGCACACCCGCAGGAGACTTAGAGGAGCTGTGGGGTTCCGGCAGCGCCCCCTGAGGTCCAGTGGGCAGCGGATGGCCTGGGCCACGCCTCCCGGGCATGCGCGGGGCCTCCCAGGCCGCCACACCTGTGGGAGGCTGGGAGGAGCCAAGGTTGTGCAGGCTCACCTGCCACCTGCCGCCAGGTGAGCCCCAGGTGAGCCGCCCTCCCCCCTCCCTCCCTCCCTCTCCCGCCCTGGCCCGCAGGTTGTGGCCTCCACCTGTTCATCTCAGTGGTGACTTGGGAGGCCTCCACCTGGCAGCAGCCACGCCGCGGCTGGACCCCCTTCCAAGGCCCGGCCCCGCCTCAGGGCCACCAAGGGGCTTCACTGGAGCCCCCGGAAGACTTCCTGGGACACCACCCTGCGCCCCAGCCCAGAGTCCCTGGCTGAATGGGCCAAGGAGGGTCTGGAACTTTCTAGAAGGTTCCCATCAGGAGGCCATGTGCGGAGCAGGAACATCCCTCTCTCCCTTCTCTTGCTTTCTTTCAGTGGATGCACAGGGGACACCCCACCGCCTGTTGAAAATGCGGGTCCACAGTGGCTGCCCCACCCGCAGGCTGCGTCTGTGCCTTGGGGAGGGAGGGCAGTTGGAGGAGGACGGCTTTCTGGTGGTCACATGACCCAGGCTCCGCTCCGGGCAGAGGATGCTGGGAAGGGCGTGGTGGCTGGGTGGGGAGAGGCAGGGCAGGGAGGAGGTGGAGAGTCATCCCACTAGGGATGGTTTGTGGCCAGGCCCCTCTCCTCCCAGGCTCTGGCAGTGGCCGCCGTCCTCTGGGATCCCTCTCCCCCACTTCTGGCCCAGGGCCCTGCACCCGTGGTTCCTGGCTGGTCACCTGTCCCTGGAGGCCGGGGAGCTGGGTGCAGGGCGGCGACAGCTGCTGGGTGGCCTCATCATGTGCCTCTTCCCTGCTTAGAAGAGGGTTGAGGTCCCCAGGTGCTGGGCGGTGGGGCCTGGGCGCCGTCCCTGAGCTCTACGACTTGGGTCACAGCTCCACTTCTGGCTTTTTGCTGCTTAGTCAGAGATAGGAGTCACAGATTTGCCTGCCCAGGCTGGCTTCACACTGCGATCCTCAGATCTCAGCCTCCTCAGCAGCTAGGGTTACAGGCGTGAGCCCTGGCACCCGGCTTAGCTCTGCTTTTTTTTTTTAAGACCCAAGACCAGGACTCGCACTTGGTACCAGATGTTTTCGCTCTTGGGCTGGCGTTCTACCAAGTGAGCCATGCCTCCACCCCTTAAATACATTGTTTTCAGTGGCACCTCCTCTGTGTATATGCATGTGCATGTACCCGTGTGTTTGAGTATGCACACATATGCTCATGTGTGTGCGTGTGTGCATGTGTGTGCAGTGGAGTGCACAGAGGCTTTCTCTGGTACTGCAGTGGTGCCCAAGCCTTGGCATCTCCCCAAGTCCCTGGGGAACGTGTGGGACCAGTTGCTGGGGGTCCCCTGGATCTGGGGATCTGGCAGCCTGTGGGGAGGCAGCC